ACCTTTTTTTATTATAGTCTATTTTATTAGAAAGAATATTTTAATAATTTTTTTTATTTATTAATTTAGTTTTGACATATACATAAAAAAATGTCAATTTTAAACATAATAAAACAAAATTTGGAATAAAATTCAGTGAAAATAGATATTTTCTCCCACTTATTTATAGTAAAATATATCATATATCTTTTTTGCATCTCATTTATCATGAACTAATTAATAAAATTATTTTATACACCTTTTGTTAAGTTACTCAATTAAATAATCATTTTATGTGAAAAAAATCAAGTTAAAATGTAATTTACAATAAAAAATGTGAAAGAATTGTATATTAGTTGTATTTATCTTTTAAGTTGTATTTATATTAGTTGTTTAACTACGATATCTCTCTCGATCCCCTTACCTTCTCCCCAACCCTAAGCTCTCGATCCCCTTCAACCCGTATCAATTGGCCTTCCTTAGCGGCGATTGAGTACGAATCGGTGGTCGTCCCTTGGCCGCCTGGCCTCCACCTGGCTTCACTAGTCGCCCTCGTTGCTCGATTTCAGGTAAGCTCTCATCTCTTGTATGGCGTCGGCTTTCAGTTACCGGCTCGCCCGTTCTTTTAATCGGCTTCCTGGGTCGCGGCGATGGTGGTGTGGGTGTGTTCGGTCGGGTGGGTGGGACCTCGGTTGTTCGACGACGATGGACGGCCAGAGCTCCTCTGCGGTTTTCCAGCCTTGTTCCCCTTATTTGGGGTAACCGGTGCTCTGTCTTCCGGCCAGTGGTGATGGCCGAGGTGGGGCAGTGGTGGGTGGAGGATTGTGGTGGCTTCGGGCTGTAGGGGACGTGGCTGCCGCCTCGGCATCTTCGTGGTTCCGGGGTTCACCGGCTGTGGTTGGACTAGCTAGTGGCGTTAGGGTGTCCGGTCACGTGGCGGTCCTGAGGCTTCTTGGTTATTGTGGTAGTAGTTCGAGTCTGATTTCAAGTGTTGTTCTGGGGCTTGGACTCGGGTATTATCCCGGTGGGATCTTTTTAGTTGTTTTAGTTTTTTAGTTACTGTAGTTGGATTGTGTTGTTTGTGCAGTTGAATTGTTATTCTAGCCTTGCTAGTATCGGGACTCTAGGCGGTCATCTAACCTGTCCTCCCACTTTTTCAGCCGTTGACTGTTGTTCCATTTGTGTATTCGCACGTTTGTGCATTTTGTTTGTTAGGAAGGACCGGTAATATACCTTTGTAACATTTACTAAAAACTTTTTGAAAAAATGTTCCTAATAAAAATAATTTTTTTATATTTTTTATCACTTAGTCTTTTAAGTTGCGAAAAAATTAAAACTTGTGAAAAAATTGTATATTAGTTATATTTATCTTTTATAATTTATTAAAAAAAAATTAAATGTATTGTTACAAGTGAATGGTAATATGCCTTTTTAACATTTATTACAAACTTTTTAAAAAAAAATTGTTAATAAAAATAATTTAAATATATTTGTCACTTACTCTTTTAAGCATATATGCATATTTGAACAAATTTATTGATACGTATATGTTTCAAGAAAATAGGACAAATCAAATGTTTCAAAAAATGGACAATATTTTGGCATACAATTTTGAAAATTAAAGTGCACAATAAAAAAATAATAGTTTTAATTTTTATTCAAAAAAATATTTTAAAGTAAGTCGAACTATTTAAACATAAAGTCAATTTTCCATTTTTGAATTAAACTTCAAAATAATATGGCTTCTCTTCTAGACAAACTTGAAGAACTCGTTTTTCTTTCTTTTTTTTTTAGAAAATTGCAAATGTGGTCCCACTCATTTGAAAAAATGCAACTTTAGTCCTAAAATTTGATTCCGTACTTTCTAGCTGTGAACGTTGACTAACAATGCATGAGCGAGACTGTCAGTTTTGACGGTTGTGGGCCATTTTTTCAACGAAAAAATAAAAGGATCATAGATGGCATTCTTAGAACCAAAGGTGGGAAACGTTGAAACGTATGGGACCAAACCTTTTGATACACTCCCGAGTTGCGTGTCTTCCAGTGCCGCCATGAAATATAAGTAGATAACTGAATCCGAGCCTTTGAAACCTTTGAATCATCCATAGTAGACACCCACCACTATTAATCTTTAAACCCACTAGCCGAGGCAGCCTCAAAGTCCCAGTTCAAAGGTAATAATTTCCACACCTTTTTAGCTCGGGCAACAATCAAATAACAGATGTTCAACACTTTCATCACTCTCACCACAACGCTCACAATCCAGTCAATAGCTACACCTCTCCTTTTCAAGTTCAGACTCACATGGAAAGATTCAAAGAAACATTTCCATACGAAATGCTTTACCTTTTTCTTTATATTCAAGCTCCAACATCTTGTCCTTGCATATTTGTCTCTCATAGCAGAAGAACTGCTCTTAGCTCTGTCTAAGCTCTGAATTTTCTTCATGATAGTAGCAACCGCTTACTTTTCTTTAGAAAATACTAAGATTTTTAGAAATAATTTGAACTTTTCAAAACCTTTCAAAAATTAAACATTTCTCTTGGACACTACTGAAACATTTTCTTTTCAAAACTTTCTAAAACATCTTTCTTTCTTTCTTCCTAAAAATAGAATACTTAACCTAAGCCTCACCCTTAGGTTCTTAGGGAAATCACTTCCTAATACTCATTTTTTAAAACTTAACCTAAGCATTACACTTAGGTCCTTAGGAAAATCACATCTCAATTTCTCAAATTCTTTTTCAAAAAATTTAAGACAAAGCAGAACGTTCAAAATACTTAGTCTTAAATGAAAACATATAGCCTCAACATAACAAACTCAGTCTCGTTCACTAAGCACAAAAAGACAATCCAGAGTTTGTAAAAACTTGCAAAAACAAAAGCAATAATAGACCACCACCGCACTTCCGTGTTCACAGCCAGTTGCTCAACCTGGAAATGATAATTGTGGGAGGGGGTGAGCAAAACAACTAGCCCACCTGGAGACTATACTGTTATTCAGAATAATTCACGGATACCATGATATTAGCATGCAACAAAAATAAAATATCATAATGCTTCTAAAATGCGCTACCCATCACGGGCAGGGTTATAACAAGCCCGAGTTTGGCAAGGATTCACGTCCGAGCTGTCTCATATATCGCCGAGAATGAGGTGTTTAGCATCATTTAAACCAACCTATCGTGGAGAAGGAAGTTGTGGCAAAAAACTTTTGAAGCAAACCAAGTATCGAGATACACAATCTTCATAAGCGACCTAGCACATTATTTTGCCCCGCGTGCCTACCGCGCGCATGTAGCAGCACGCCCGCGCACTCGTGCCCCCTGACCGTGATCGCTGCGCAACCTAGTATCGCTCCGCGCCCGTGCACATCCTGCGAGCACGCGCACCCTTGTGCACCAGGCGACCCCAGCACACCGAGCCATGACCCACGCCCACGCGAACTGTACTCGGACCACCATCGAGCCACATCGGGCCAACGGGCAAACCACCGAGCCCGGACGACCGCCGGTGATATTTTCTGGCTGCCTGTGGTATTTTTTGGCGATCCGGTGACTTTTCGGGCAACTTTTTTGGCAAACCTTCCAGTGCCTGTTTTTCAGCCGCCGTCGACATTTTCCGGCCGAAAACGACTTTTTAGACCTCCCAAGAACATTTTGTGCCGTTAGAGCCATCGTAAACCTTAGTTTCCGACGATTCTATTTCCTTCACCCGTTTTTTCATGATCTTTCACTCTCGCACACATGTTTTGACGGTTCATTGCCCGATTTTCTTACTCTTGGTGCCGAGATCATTGTTTCACTAGGTACTTCAGTTAGACAAACTAGAGCCATTTATATTTGAATTGGACGTGATTTTATTGATTCGGGAGTGATTTATATTAAGTATGGGGGAGGTGTATTTGGGGTTGGTGAGGTAATACTTAAAATTTAAAGTATTTTGGTGGTTGTCTTTCGATGTCGAGGCACGTTGGGAGATTTTATTGATTATGTGGAGGAAGTGCTGTGAACGTGGCGCTTTGATTTGTACTTAATGCATCATTAGCATTCAGTTGTGCTAGTGGATGTACATTGATTCAAGAGGGGTTGTGCTTTATGGATTATGTTGAAGACCGGGGGAAGTGTTGGCGACTTGTTTTGAAATACTCTATTTTGCGGTGTTTGAGGGCGTTTGGAGCTCGTATTGACAATCCTATATCTTTGGCGACTTGATTTGGGCATAATTTTTTATTTGTCTTGCTTTATCAAATGGGAACTTTCGATCTTGATGTGCGGATCCGTTTCGTCATTCTTATATTATATTCTTGAGAGGCTTGTTTCGCGCGTTGGAGCATTATTTTTCACTTCCATATCTTTTGGAGTTCAAGGCGATTATCAGCGATTTGATTTGTCATTCCAACTATATCCGGGACGTGCGACAATCTGAGTTTGTGTTTTTTACCTTCTCTTATTTTATTTGTTTTTCTTATTTCTCTTGCTTATGTATTTTGTTCTTTTCGTGCCTTTGACTCCACCCAATTACATATCTATTTTCGTTCCTTGTCTTTTTTTCCTTTCACTAGTTGGGGTATGCAATGAGGGCATTGCGTTGTTTTAAGTGTAGGGGAGGTTTTTTGAAATCATGCATGCTTATGTGGTGGATGGATCTAGTTTCTAGGTTTATTTCTCTTAAGTTTGTTGTTAAATGGAACAAATTTGTGTATTTGTGTTGCTCCTCCCCCAAATGAAGCTTAATGCTTGGTCGATATTGCTAACTTTTTATTTGGGTAACGTGTTTATTTCATTTTGAATTGTCTTACTTTATGCCTTTCAATAAGTTAAACCCCGGTGATTCTACGATTGAAGATTTGCTAATGTGGGACACATAATTTATCACGGCCTTGTTTTGTCCTTTGTAATTCCCAATTGACCAATACTTTGAACTTGACTTCTTTGAGGTTTCATATGTAAAAGCTCGTGTTCGTAGTCTATTCTCGTTATTAGATATCATGATGTATATTTTTTTAATTATATTCACGTTGTTGTGTTGATTGGTTTGCTCTCTCCAAAAAAAAAAAAGAAATGAAAAAGAGAGAAATGAAATGTGAGTTCGCGAGGAAGTATGGACTAGACTCCTCTTATTTCGATCCACTTAGTGGAAGGGGATAATGAGCCCGAAAAACCGGTTCTGGAGACTCGAGGAAATCCCTTCGGGTTACACCTAGATATTAATCGTCCAGAAATCTCATTTGGAAAAAGAACCTCACAGAAAAAGAAAAAAGAAAGTGGTTGTATAAAATGAGTTCGTGAGAGTTCAAAGGATTAGGCTCCGCTAGACCCAGTTAGTCTCCTTCTAAATGGATGAGGTGAGTGAGTACGGAAAACCAGCCTAGGAGACTCGGGGACGAACCCCGAGGTTAAACATAGGTAATAATTAGTCTAACGACTCTCATTTGGAAAAATTGACTGATGTAAAAAAAAATGAATAAAGAGGGAAAAACTTGATCTTATGCCATTGATCTTATTGCTTATGTTTGAGTTGACTTATAGTCCCTTGGTCGTGTTGAAAATATTTGTATTGGGAGACTGAGAGTACACGTATGATGCATGGTACGAGATTGGTTGTTACAAAGCTCTACACTCATGTGCTTGAATGAAAGTTATTAACTAGATCTAATGCAACAGAAAAAGTGTTTATACCATGACGACTAACAAGAGCCAAAGTCAGTCTTTATCACATCTTGACATGTTACTGAAGAAATTGGTGTTCAGTCATAGCCAATTGTATATATTTGTTTCCCGTGTCAAGGATTGAAGATATTACTTTGCAGGGAGGATGATGTGCATATAAGGCAAAAACTATTATCTACAAGAAATTTTTTTAAAAATACATAATATTATTTTTTATTATATAATGATAAAGTAGGGTAAACAGTCTTAAAATTGTCCATCCCATGCATCAAACAAGTTCTACACTAATAATAATAATAATAGATAACAATAATATTATTAATCGCAATGAATTATAAATGAATAATATAATCATACAAACAGACACACCCTACAAAAAACCAACCCCCGAAACAAAACCCGACTCATTTCCCCTCTTTCTCCCAAAGTTGAACCAATGGACCCCAAAACTCATCATCCCGTCTTCCTCCTCCTCCTCCCTTTTCTGAGCCTCCTGATCCACGCCGCCGCCGATGACGCCACCGTCATGTCAACTCTTCTCACTTCCCTCTCGCCGGCCCCTCGCGGCTGGTCGGCCTCCACCTCCTTCTGCAGCTGGACCAACGTCAACTGCGACTCCACCTCCAAATTTGTCACCTCCATTGACTTAAACTCCGCCGGAGTCTCTGGTTCTCTTCCCCCTGAGCTCAACCAGCTTTCCCAGCTCAGATCCCTCGCGGTTCAGAGAAACTCACTCTCCGGAACACTGCCTTCTTTCCAGAACATCACTTCCCTCGAACAAATCTATCTTGACCAGAACAACTTCACATCCGTCCCTAACAATTTCCTCTTAGGCCTACCGAATCTTCAGACTTTCAGCATAAGTCAGAACACGAATCTACGTCCTTGGCAAATCCCTTCTTATTTGACTGAAAGCTCGAATCTCGTCTCCTTCTTTGCTAGTAATGCCGGTATCACTGGCAGCATCCCGGATATCTTCGGGTCTTTCCCCAATCTGCTCAATTTGAGGCTGTCGTACAACAATTTGACCGGATCTTTGCCCCGATCTTTCTCCGGGTCCGAGATTCAAAATCTCTGGCTCAACAATCAGGGTTTGTCCGGCCCAATAGATGTGTTGGGTAACATGGTTCAGTTGCGGCAAGTTTGGCTGCACGCTAACTCGTTTTCAGGTGGGCTTCCCGATCTGTCCAGATGTGACTCCTTGTTCGATTTGCAGTTGAGGGACAACAGGTTTACTGGCGTGGTCCCACCTTCTCTGATGGCTTTGCCCTCTCTCGTCAACATTACTCTGCAGAACAACAAGTTGCAGGGTCCTTTTCCGCAGTTTCGAGCTGGAGTTCACGCCGAAATCGGGACCACCAATAGCTTTTGTTTAAGCGCACCAGGGCCATGTGATCCACAGGTGAGCACACTTCTTGATGTTGCGGCCTCTCTAGGCTATCCCATGTCTTTAGCCGAGTCATGGGAAGGGAATGATGCCTGCCAAGGATGGAGATTTGTTAACTGTGATTCACGAAATGTCACAATCGTGAACATGGGCAGACAAGGGTTCTCGGGCACTATCTCACCCGCTTTTGCCAATCTGACCTCTTTGAGGAATTTGGTATTGAACGATAACAATCTCACTGGCGCCATCCCGAACGCCCTTACTACTTTGCCTCAGCTTCAAAGCATAGATGTGTCGAACAATAACTTATCCGGTCCTATCCCGACATTTCGAGTTGGCGTGAGATTTAATCACGATGGCAATTCGCTTCTCGGTAGGAATATATCTGGCGGAGGTGGGCCCACGGGATCTCACAGTGGGAATCCGAATGGAAGCACGTCTAAATCGGGAAAGGGCTCGTCTGGTTCTGCAGCTATGATTGCTGGGGTTGTGATAGCCGTTTTGGTATTCACGGGAGTTGTGTTGTTTGTTTCCTATAAATGCTATATCAAGAGACGGCACAAGAGATTTGGCAGGGTTGAAGGGTCCGAGATTGGGAAGGAGTTGTTTAAACCCAATGGGAATAATGTGAATGGGTATAATGGAGTTCCAAGCGAGCTACAAAGCCAGAGCAGTTGTGGGGACCACACCGAAATACCCATTTTTGAGGGTGGGAATGTTACAATCTCAATACAGATTCTGAGACAGGTGACGAACAATTTCAGTGAAGATAATGTGCTGGGCAGAGGAGGATTTGGGGTCGTTTACAAGGGTGAATTGCAAGATGGGACTAAGATTGCTGTGAAAAGAATGGAGTCTGGGGTGATGGGCACAAAGGGATTGAACGAGTTCCAGGCCGAAATTGCTGTCCTCACCAAAGTTCGGCACAGGCATTTGGTTGCGCTCTTGGGGTACTGTATTAATGGCAACGAGAGGCTTTTGGTGTATGAATACATGCCACAGGGGACTTTGAGCCAGCATCTGTTCGAGTGGCAGGAGCATGGCTACCCGCCTCTCACATGGAAACAGAGAGTGACAACAGCTTTGGATGTGGCCAGAGGAGTTGAGTATCTTCACAGTTTAGCCCAACAGAGTTTCATTCACAGGGATTTGAAGCCGACTAACATACTTCTCACGGACGATATGAGAGCAAAGGTTGCGGATTTTGGATTGGTAAAAAATGCACCGGATGGTAAGTATTCTGTCGAGACGCGATTGGCTGGGACTTTTGGCTATCTTGCACCTGAATATGCTGGTAAGTTGTCCCCTGTTTTGTTATTTTATTTTTTTCTTTAGTTAGCTGCAAAATCATGTATGTTAGGTAGTCATGCTTGCGTGTTATAAATACATTACATTTGAGGCTATGAAGATGTGTCTATTGAGCTTTTCATTTTTACCTTGGCAATTTAGGTAGTAGTGACATTAGTACCTAAATCATGTATGTTTGTTGGTCATTCTTACTTGTTATCATATGATTGTAATGAAAACTTAAAAAAATAAAAATAAAAATTAAGAATTGCCATCAATTTCCCCCTTGCAGCTACTGGAAGAGTGACAACGAAAGTCGATGTTTATGCCTTTGGAGTTGTTCTGATGGAGCTTATTACCGGTCGAAAAGCGCTAGACGAGACGCAGCCAGACGAGAGGTCTCATTTGGTCACATGGTTCCGCAGAGTCCTTATCAATAAAGACAACCTCAAAAAGTCGATAGATCCAATTCTCGATCCAGATTACGAAACTTACGAGAGCATTTGCAAGGTTGCTGAGCTGGCGGGCCACTGCACAGCCCGCGAGCCTTTCCAGAGACCTGACATGGGACATGCGGTTAATGTGTTGGGACCTTTGGTTGAGCAGTGGAAACCTTCTAAACCTGAAGAAGAGGATGCTTATGGCATCGACCTTCCCATGAGTTTGCCTCAAGCCCTTCAAAGATGGCAAGCTGATGAAGGAACTTCTAGAATGTTTGATGATCTCTCTTACAGCAACACACAGTCGAGCATCCCCGCTAAACCGTCTGGATTTGCGGACACGTTTAGCTCAATGGACTGTAGATGAAAAGAGTCGATGACAGAGTAAGAAGAGGTAACCCATGCTTCATCCTATGACAAGAAAGGTGAGTTGTCCACACACGGTTGTGTTTAGTTTGAGTTGTTAAACAATGTTGGAGATCGTATTTAATTTATTCTTTCCCGCTTGACTTTTGCTGTCCTTTTTATCCTTTTCTTGTAATAGCAACTGTAAGAAAAACCCAAGTTGATAGAGGTTATTATTATTGTGCTCGACTGAATAATACCGTACACTTGTATGAATTCACAACACACACACGCACACACACAGAGAGAGAGGGAGAGAGAAACATGATCTGTTTGTCTTGCTGCATTCATGTTAGAATCAAATCAAAACAAATCAAGAAACAAATGGAAAATCATAACTTGCATTCGGGTTTGAACGATTTGGATTTGGGTGAGGATTTTGCGGAAAGGATGTCGAGTGGAAAGTAAATGAGGGTGGAGTATCCTAAAACTGACTGAGAAATAGGCAACAAGAAATTGAAATTCATATTATAATGACATTATGTGTTATACCTCTCATATAACATTGATTTGTTATTAGTGAGATGTGATATTATCCTCAAATTTAGATCACCAGTCAAGGTAGGGTCGAAGTTGAGTATGGAGATTTAAATGGCTAGTCCGGTGTTTGAGGTGCTACTTTAGGATCTCAACAAATTAAATGAAATTGGAAAAATAATTATACCCAAATAAATTTTTGTGTGAGGCAGCCTAGCCTAATCGTTAGGGTCAATCCATCATACTTCTCATACTTCTCTCACACAAGTGCATACTTATGAAAATATTGATAGTTTTATTTTTGTTGTTTGGTCAATCCATCATACTTCTCATACTTTTCTCACACAAGTGCATACTTATGAAAATATTGATAGTTTTATTTTTGTTGTTTTTATAGACTACACTACTTTTCAGTTTGAAAGTATGTAATTATTTTAAAATAGTATAACAGGCCTAACCGTTAAGCCGTTATTTTTTCGATTTCATTNATGAGCCAAGGTAGAGTGGGTTATGCAAATTGATTTCAGTTTCAGCATGACGATGGTAGAGTGGGTTATGCAAATTGCAGCTGATAAATGAGCTAGCGATTCCGCATGATGCGTAATTCCAGTCTGCATACAGCTGTGGTGTTAATATATAGATAATCGTTTAATTTGTTTTATCGGACATTCGCTGTAATCAGGCTGGCCATGATAAGTTTGGTTACGTAGATAATAGATTCATATGAGAGATAGAATTAGCATCTGAGGTGGATGGTAGGGTATGAGAGGAATAGACAGACTGTGAACATGCTAAGGTTTAACTTACTCTTATCCTTCAAAGTCCAAATAACTTAATATTTAAACTATGATCACTTACGTATCATTTTCTTGCACGACAGTGATGATTGAAGAAGTTGAAATTACGCCTATCTATCGTCACAAACAAATTTGTATAAAACTTAATAAGAATAAAAATAAAAACAGAACGCGGTGAGTCACGGAAAGCCATGTGATAGAGGAAAAAATAAAAAATAAAAATTTGTAAAAATCATAACATAATCATTGAGAAAAAAGTGAAGCAACAAAATTTAAATCTAAATATTATTAAACACTTTTTTATATACAACGTTCGTGATTTTTCTATCATCACAATCTTCATCACTACAAATCATTATTTTCAACCTCCTATTATTCGTGACTCTAGATAGTGCCACATAATCACAAAGAATAAAAAAATATTTCTTATTATTACAATATTATTTTGTACATAATGCTAAAGTTCAAAAAATATATACCTGCTTCTTGAGAATAATAGAAGGCAAATTATTATGGGCAGTCGGTCTTTGGAATGAAAATGCTAAAGTAGACACATCAGATGACGTACTTACAATAATTAAATCAATAAATTTAAATAATTAATTAAAAATTATGAACCCAAACCCATTGAAATGAAGAAAATGTATTTGACCATTAATTAACAAAAAAAGCAATTTATAATAAATAGAGCCCACAAAGAACTTAATAATAAGTTATACACAAGAGTGCCAAATTTTAAGGTAATTTATCCATGTTATTTATGTTGATAAACGGATTTGATCAACGTTAACAATGTAATATTAACAGAAGAGATTGCAGAAAAAGAGATTTTTATTGAATATTATGAAGTCGGTTTTAGTACAAAGAGGTCGGTTTTTCAGTATATTTCAGGTCGGTTTACAATGAGATATCCGAGGTGAATATATGAGTGTGTATGATCGTTTTTCGAACCCTTCTCTCATTTTCGGAACTGCTATTTATAGGTATGTTTGGCACACATCCCTAGACAAATCATTCCGTTTTAATGAAGATTTGACATCTTAGGGGCGGCGATGACGTAGAAGAACCTTTTAGGCAATGATTAGCATGGGCGCGCCTCTATCTGTGTGACGAGTGTCACATCTGTCGGAATGAGTTCGGTTCGTCTTGCGAAGTCGGTATCTTGATTGATCTTCAATATTTTACGACTTCTTAATGAATAACTCTTTGACCGAATTGGTCTTTTCCAAGGTTAAGACGACTTGTGTTGATGTCTTCCGAAAATTCTGCGGTATCATTTACGAGTACCGAGATGAGATTACCGAGATGCAAATATGTACTGCCTGACGTCGTCCAGAATCCAGTTTAGGAGTTAAACTTCGCGATTTCTTTAATGATATCATAACACCAAGATAATCTATCTTGATATCAACATAGAGGCCCCTGGCATTAAGAAGTATGCAAATTATGCATACTTTTTGATGACATTTTCCATCCAATTGCTTCTTATCCTCGAGCTGACCTAAGGGTTTCTTTCGCGAGTTTATGCCGAGTTAATTTCCTTAGACAAGAATCAAATAGTTTGGTTCCTTTATCAAAGTCGTTGTGTACTGTGAGGAGTTTATTGTGCGGTTTACGAGAGGTCGCAAACGTGGTGTCTCCACTACTCTTCATAATAAGCACGTACCGAAATTTCCGGAAATTAACGTTGGCGGTTTTTGGGACACGCGTACGTACGAGATTGTATCTGAACGTTATGTCACCATAAGGAGGCACTTCTCTGAATCGACGCGTCATTTAACCACGCGCCTCCCCATCTTCAACGGTTAGAAAACTGCGAGAGTATATATATACAGATAAATTCACGGTTTCTATTCACTAAATCTTCATTTAAGCAACTGCTCTCTCAAACTATCTTCTGCATATTTCGCCTTTTCCCTTTCACCTTCCTCGTCGTATTTTCAGCAAATCCCGAAACCTTTGAGATTTTACTTTACTTTTCGGTAAGCCCTAATTTCTTCTTTTCGCTTTATAATTTCTTCATATCGTTTTTCTGGGTTTTAATCATGGTGGTGAGTGGTGAGAACGTCGGTACGGGCAGCAGCAGTAGGACTGTGTCTGACCTGAGGTTGGATGAGGAATTAATGGAGTTGATGGGGGATTATTATCGGTGGGACCCTGTATTTGTGGAGCGTCTGGATATACGCAAACGTGATATTGAAGGAGATGCCGAGGTGGAACGAGATGTTCCTGTGAGGTCGGGTTATTGGAATCGTCCCGCCCGGCAATGGCCCGACGAAGATGTTCCGTTTTTGGGGGAGCCCAGTACCATGACCGACGCCGACGTAGTTCTCCTCCGCGAGTGGGTACGAATCCCTACCTCGGTGAGGATTTTCGCTCCTTATCCGGGGGAAAGGATTCATTGCCCTCCTCCGGGTTGTATAGGGATTTTTGCCGGAAGTCTGAGGTCGGGCCTAAGATTTCCTCTAGACAACGTCATAACCGATTATCTGCGCGATTGGGGTCTCAGTCTCAGCCAGATTACTCCCAATAGCTGGAAAAATATTATTGGGATTATGGTCCTGTTAGCACAAAAGAAAATTCCCTTCCCTACCATCGACGAGATGAGAAGCATTCTGTTCTTCAAGAGGAGCAGGGAGCGGGATGGAGTTCCTCCAACGGGTTGCTTTTTTTGTGCGGCGAGGCCGCAGTACGAATTGAAGATAGGACAATTGGTTACTGGGATACCTGAAACCCTTCATGGTTTTCAGGACGAATGGTTGTGGGTTGGAGGAGATTGGCAGTCTTCCGACTTCCGACTTGAGGCTCCAATTGATGGGATGACTGTCCCAACCCGAGTTGTCTCTTCTTTCCGTAAATTCTGTTCTTTCATTCAGAATTCCCTGACAGGTTGTTTTTCTTTCGATAACAGGTCGGACCTTTTCGTATTTGTAGCAAAAAGAAAAAAGGAGCCGAAATTGAGCGGGGAGTTTAGAGATAAACTTGAGGAGATCGCAAAACTCAGTGTAGCGGATCGCAAGTGGAATTTGTTGACCAAGAACGCTAAACTTGCTGAGGCGAAACTCGGACCCAAAAAGGCAATCCCCGACTTTGAACCCGGTGAGTTCTTATAATATCAATCCAATTCGTAGCCTTGAACTAGATGAGTTCATTAAATATCGATATAATTTTGGTTATTTGCTTTCTTCCATCAGTTTACTATCCGCTGTTAGGATTTTTCGGATTCCAATCAGTTCGAGAAGCAAAAGATTATCGCCGTAGGTTTTCAGTGAAAGATACCGAGATGGGTCGCATGAATTTTTTGGCTAACTTGAAGAAGAAGGCTATCCCAGGTCGTACCGCGGCGGGTGACGATGTTGGAGTCACGTCGGGCACACCAGCTACAGTTGCATTACCAGCCCCTATTATTGAGCCCGCAGTTGAGCCACCCCCCGAGATGAATACCGAGTTTATGGTGGCTATTCATTCTCCACCTCGGGAGGTTGAGAAAGAGGTTGAAGCTGCTCGTCCCGATCTCCATGTCATTGTTTCGAGCTCAGAGGACATTGAGGCCGCGCAGAAAACAGTGGAAGAAGCTTCTTCTCAACAGAAAAAGAAGAAGAAGAAGAAGAACAAGAGGAAAGCAAGTGAAGAATTCGACGTTGATCAGGAGCGTCGTTCAAAGTCTAGACAGGACGTCGGCCAACTTAATTTGGAAATGAATGCTCCGGTCCACCAGGATGGAGGAGACACTTATTTGCCCATTGATGAGGAGCGGATATTGGAACAGAATCTGCCGGAGGACGTAATGGAGAAGTGGTTTACTCAGTACCATTCCATGATTGTCCCCAAATTCAACAACAAATTTCACCAGCCCCCCCACGTATTAGAAGCAGCTCGGGTTCCAATGATGTCATGGGATCCGGCAACTGAGGCTCGAGTATCTGGGT